AAAAAATGAAAAATATCTTTAAATCACATAAAGAAACTCTAAGAAAATCAAAATATAATCACATACCATATATTATATGTCACGCCCCAGAACCCAAATCCAAGGACGTGGCAGACGCCGTGCACTCGTGAGATGGGTCTCACAAATGCATAAGGCTCGGAACTTATTCAAATCACAAATCTCAAGAATAAAATCTAATTTACAAAGAATGATAAAATCTAAAACTTATATCCAATTGAAATGGCTAGCCTTCTACCTCGTCACTCCCTTCGGTTTCCCATCCTTAGTTTCGCTTCCTGAAATGGTGGACAAGGAAAACTATGAGATAACTCGGTAAGTAAATATGGATAGCCCTTGAGTAAAATTTTAGCATGCCTGATAAATAGTTTAACACATCAAAACGTTCAATGATAACTCGTTAAAAATAGAATCAGATTCAGTTCAATAGTAAAACGTTTAATGACAAAACCGTTAATGTAGAATCAGAATCAAATTCAGTGGTAGTCTCATCTATAAATCATGGCCAGCATTTATAAACCTCCCACTGGCGGGCACAGTAGTTACCAATGTTTAACCCCATTGGCAAGGTTACAGAAGTACCAATTTTAACAAACTCCCATTGGCAAGCGTCAGTAATGATACCAATGTTTACAAACTCCCACTGGAAGGCGTCAGTAATTACCAATGTATTCGCCCATTAGCAGGCGTCAGTAGTACCAGTGTTTAACAAACTCCCACTGGCAGGTGTCAGTAATTACCAATGTATTATCCCATTGGCAGGATGAACCGGTTCTACAAAAATACATGTCGACATGTGCTAGCATTTGCATCTCCCACTAGCGGGCATCAGTAATCATGATTATATCAGAGACAAAACCATGCAGAATTTACAAAAAAATCTGTAATTCACAATCAATCTCAAATTTCAAAAATAAACCGAAAATTTTCCATGTGAGCATGGATTTAACAGAAAACTCAGAATTTACAACAACTCTCAGTTCATCAAAGCAGTTCAGTCAATTCCAAATAGGCATGCTCTATTCCAGAAAACAATGAAATTCTCATTCTCAGTTCAATCATATGCTCACTTCCAGAAAAACAATGAAATTCCCATTTTCATTCCAATCATGCTCAATTCCAGAAAATAATAATTTTCATGAAAATCATCAAAATTCTCATTTCAGTTTAATCACACTCAAATGCTGATAAAATCAATTTAAACCTTGCCACCATCTCAAAAACAGTTGAAAACATACTTTAAAATTGAAGGGCTTTACCATAATTTACTTACCTCACTCGCACAGAACCAAAGGCTTAACCCAATGCTACGGTGACAAAACGATCAAAACCTAATAACAATTTCCAAGAGTTAATACCGCACTACCACAAATTCACAGTGAAATCATCTTTAGCACTACCCCTAATTACGGTGCTATTTTTATCAATCTCCACATGACGGACATCTCCAAATTTGTTCTTATATCACAAACTAATCATTTAAATCCCCGTTAATCGTTAACCCTCGGTGCGTGAACAGTAACTTCAACTTCCGAAATTGGCAAAACAATAACTAATCTCACAGGATTTTTCTCCAAAATCACAACAACCCAATTCAAGCTAACCTCCACTTAAATTAAACAAAAACCCACTTAAAGCTACCAACTCCCGGGATAGAAAAATGGAGAAAATGGCTCAGCAAAACCACACTCACACACGGGATTTCTCTCCAGAAATCATAGCAGCCAAATCAAGCTAAATTCTACATAATCAAGCTTAAAACACATTTAATTGCTGCTAAATGCTACCGGAATTCTCCCATTTTCCAGCAAAATTCGGACAACCCGAGCAGCCACAACAAGGACCAAATTCAGCAAAGTACAAATTAAAACTCTAAATTAATTAGTAGAATTACACAAAATATTAACAAAATTATAATAAAATAGAAGAATTTATGAGTCAGAGAATATACCATTGGATTATGACAAAAATTTCATGAGAATGAAATTGGTTTTTGAAAAATAAGAAGAGTAAGAAACTGAAAAAATGAGAAGAGAATGGTAAGAAGAGAGAAATGAATCTAAAGAAGAAGAGAAATTGTGAAATGGTAGGAGAACTACTATGGTTGATTTATATATAGAAACATTTGTGTCAATCAATATTATTTGCTCTAACATTCTGACATAGACAATCATTCAGTCAAAAGTGATGGGAAGACTCGACGAGTTTCAAAAATTTTT